CAGTGGGGGGACCTCTCCCAGACTCGCGCTTTCAGCCTTGGGTGGCTCAGGGTGCCAAGTGAGGTCACTGCAAGGCCTCTGACTGAGAGGTCCTAGGGTTATACTCCCGACGGTGGCAGGGTTTTCGTCACTAGCTAGACCGCCAGGTCGAGTTCCACCGCTGTCTGGAGAAGAAATCGAGCGTCCGGCTGCTCTGATAGGAAGTTTCCCGTGGTTTCTTCGATCAGCACCAGCCGAATGCCGGAGCAGTACTCTAACAAACGGGCCTCGGACCGCGCGCGATCTTTCCTTCCTCTTTCTTGTCCTGTCCTCACCCCTTACACATATTTACACTCACATGCACTCCACTACCCAACATGCCTGGAGCTTAGAGTTTGTGCTGGTGTTTGGTGGTGCCCCGCTGGTGGGAGATACCTGGTTGGGGAAATCCCCGCTAGCCGACGGAAGGCCGGCGCCGGATCTCGCCATCCAGCGGGGGAATCATTGCCACTCCCGGCGATTAAAAAGCGCACATGCTCTGTTCTTATGAATAACAAATCGATGAATGCATCTTCCAGGTGTTCCAGGTGCCGAAGTAGGGTCGCGCTGCGGGTGGCTCGCCCATGCGGCCGCCTTCGGGATTCGTCCAAATCAGCCTTTCAGCAAACAATTGATTATTAATGAACTTATCTTGTGCTGGTGTTATTAAGTTTTGCAGCATCAAATTGGAGCTGTATAGTACATTATTAATATTTCAATTGAAATCTTAGTAATCAATACAGACAAATAAATGAAAGCGTGATTTTCGAATTTTCAACTTTTAAATACATTATTAACTTGATTGTTCTATTACGATGTCAAATCAGTTGTTGTCTCTTGTCCGTTTGTAAGTACAGATTTAACCTAAAAACTACTGAATCCATGAGCGTAAAATATAAACATGTAAGGAATAAATTCATTGCTTACATCAAGAGGCATACAAATTACAACAAAAAAAGATCAGTTGGTGGTGACGAATTTTCCTAATAGAACTAGCCGAAAAACTTACAAAACAAAAACATGAAATCAATTAGGTTTACAATACCAAAATACATAAAAGAACATTGAACTGCCTAAATATTCACTGAATCCATAAAACTGTAGCTTTAGGAGCCAGCAATGGAATATACAATATTTTTTTTTTCAAACGGAAAAAATTAGTAATTTTTAAAAAAATTAAATATTAATACAAATATAAAGAAACATTTCGTTTTTTGCTTATAATTTCCCATTCTTATTTATGTAAGGACAAAATGGGCAGAAAGAGTAACTGCTTGTACAAAAAGTGTAAGAAATATCTAAGGAAAACACTGAATATTTTATTATTTTCAATAATTGTCAGTAAAGAGTAAAGCTTGCTAAAGGATTCCATAGCTTTAAAAACTTGATAAATTGTAACTACATTCAAAAGTCAAATTATTACTGAGTGCAACTACAACGTATACAACTATAATAAAAATTCAAATAAATACACAGAACTGTTGCAATCGTTTTCAAAATATATTTAAAATCAAGGTGATTTACAGGCAGGAAAATGTGTTGTTGTTGTTGTTGTTTTTTACTTCTGTCTAGCAGTCGAAAAAATTCATAACAATTTGTGTTTTGAGAGGAATCTTTGAGATTTATTCAAGCCTGTTCCAGGGTTCTAAGACACAGTTTTTGTTTTTTGTTGTTGTTTTTTTGTTTTCAAAAACTTTTTTGTTTAATTTTGGCATTGAGATCACATATAAGATATTGAAACAAATAATTACTGGTTTTTGACATTATGCCTGAAGATGGAAATAATTTCTGAAACGTTGCAGTTACTATTATGTATCACGTGTAACATATTGATAAAAAGTCGTTATGATAAATAAATAAAGATATTGTCTGGTATCAATATTTTAATTCAGCTTATGATCATTTCGATCGTGTAGCGATCATCCTCAGAGCTAAAATGTGAAATACGCGCTGAGAGGGGTCTCCTTGCCTCGCACCTGAATTTATTTCAAAATTTTGTGAATAGTCATTGATATGCCTTGACTTTGGTGATATTTAATGTTAACCTCTACTTCCAGACACCATCATAATCATAAGTCACGAGTCTGATTTCATAATAATACTATTAATCAAGGCAAACATTTTTGAGTGGATAAACAAACGCTCTCTAGAGGAAGGTGGGTAAACTCGGATCAGGCACAGTGCATCGTGAAAAACATTTATCTCTTATGGTTCAGCTGGACAGCATTAGTTTTTTCCAGTAGCAAATTAATATTGCTTTTTTACCACAAAGCAATTTTTTAAGCAGTTATGTACATTAAATAATTTTTCATACAATGTAGCCAAAAAAAAATTAATTTCTTAATCTAATTCTTAATATTGCAAGTTGATTGAATATTACAAATTTTATAAAAAATTCTCACAACATATTATTTATCAAATAATGGTAGCAGCAAACAAGCTGTTAAACACATATCATACATAAAAAATTGTTAATAATACACGTATAGAAACAGTATATACTGATTATATCTCAGTTCGTACATATCACACAAAATTTGTAGAATTATGAGTATTGAAACTATTCCTAAACACGTCCAGATTATCCTTTCCAACACAGTCAGCTGGTAATGCATTCGATGCATTGACAACCCGATTGGCAATAAAATACGATCTCTGTCTGCGTACATGTAGTGAATCTGTGGATCTCGTAAAGAGAACATCATACCCTGGTATATTATATGAACTTATATGAACTATTCAGAATCTTATTAGTTCCTATCATATCGCTTCTGGTTCTTCTCCGTTCCAGTGCCTACAAAATCATAATTTGGCATCTTACTCAAAAGTTCGACGAACTTCTCTTGGAATCCCGGGGACTTGCTTTTGTACCTTTTCGAAGTGATTGATGTGCATGTTGAAGTACAGGAACCATACCACATGGGCATACTCAGGTATAGGTCTTATATACATCATGTAATCTTTATATTGGATAGCTTCAAGATGGGAAATGACTGTCATCAAATATAATGCCATGTTTGTCCGTCTGGTTACAGCAGCAACTTCATTTTACCAATTTAGATGCTAAGTGTTAAGTACTCCCAAATCATTGTGGCGCTGTAGTGTCCAAGGTGCAGCCTTTAATGGTGTAAGGAAGCCTTGGATTTTTCTTAAAAAGATGGAGAAATTTACATTTGTCAGCGTTTGGTGGAAGGAACCAAGTTTTTGACCAGTTTTCTACTGTAGCAAGATCGCCTTGTAAATTCTGATCAGTGGACTTGCAAAAAGTTTAGAATCGTCCGCATAGCAGTTCCATTTCCCAGAATGTTCATGAACAAGGTTATTAGCATTGGTCCCAGAACAGAGCCTTGAGCAACCCCACTAGTAACATGTCAAGATGTTGAGACAAAACATCCTACTTGAGAGGTATTCTCGGATTCACGTGAGCAACTTTTCCAGTATTCCCAATGATTCTAATTTTGCAATTAATGGTTTGTGGGGAACTTTATCCAACGCTTTTGCATAATCAAAGTATATTACATCGATACATTGCCTTAGTCGAAACATCAAGCAAGTTAATCAAATTTGTGGTGGATGATCTACCGGGGACAAATCCATGTTGCTGCACGTGTAGATTATTTCTACTAGCATGATCACGAAGTCTCCGAGCTATTATTCTCTCCATAACCTTCCCAACACTACTAGTTAGACGTATAGGCCTGTAATTTTCTGGTAACTGTCTATCACCACTCTTCAAGATACAGCTTCTTTCTACTTGGAAGGTAGTTTTGCTGCATCTAGTGACAGTTTAAAAACTCTACTAAGTACTGAAGCTATATGCGTTGTACAGTCAGCACGTTCAAATATTTGAGAGAAAATTAATTGATTGAGACAATGTGTCAATGTTTGGTAGTGCTATGATATGCTACATTAAAGGACTGATATAAAACGTTCATGAACAGAGCTGGCGATTGGTGTTAGGTCCAAGTGGGTAGCTGACCCGGGAGAGGGGAGGAGTCTCCAGACCTATTTGAAGGAAAAATTACAAAACAGAACTTTTTTGAAACCATCATGTTTATCATTAAATTGACATCAGAATATCATGTTTATTTTATGTAACTTCAGCAGTTTATTTTTGTGATGCAAAAGCTGTGCTGCTCTTTCCTTTTTTTGATTAACACTTGTTTAACAATTTTTGCAAATTGATTTTGTCGGTCATGTCGCTATGAAATGTAAAATGGCAATTCTGTTGAGTCAACCTTGCAAACTGGTTGATCGCATATACGAGCCAAAGCAATACCAAGAAACTTCATTCATTTCTGGAATTTGACCTTTATGGAATATATCTCTCACCTGAAATTGCAAGTTGAAATTTTATTCCTTCGTAATTTTTTGTGTGGGTGTGCACCCATCATACCCACATTATCCGCTAGGCCTGTTCACGAACATCAATTTAATTGGTAAACTCCGATGAAAGTGAAACACAAACTAAAGTATCATTGTTCTTATATCACTCACGTTTTCTCAATTGACCTTATAGGCCTATATACATCTTATATAAAAACAGTATTGAAGTACAGTAAAGCATAAAATTGTAAAAACTCAAAGAGATATCTTAGATATTAAAATGCATATTATAATTTTGGCATTTGCAAGTCAATGTTTTATATCACTAATGTGTGCATGTTATATTGAAATCAAGATGTAGTATTATTGCAGGTTGTAGAAACCTTCGTTGAACCACAAACAAGTTCTGCTCCTTAGTTTACATATGCAAATCTAATTCCAGCACACATTTATTCATCATGATCAAATTCTTTAAATTTTTATAGTTTGGTGTAGGCACAATGTCCACCATACCGTTGCTTTCTCAGCCATTCAACTTCATCTTTTCAGTATTTAAACAGCTTCTCCAGACTTACTTGCATTTTTACAAAAGGATAGTTATTCCATTTGTACGGAAAGCAGAGAGTAATGTGGAAAGATCAAAAATGAATGGTAAATAATGCTTAATAACAGACATAAAATAAAAATATTTTAATACCCAATAACAACAATTACAACATAAATATTTGTATCTTTGTCTCCATTGTGTACAAAAGTACCTAGCACATACTTCTATCACACAGAACTCTCCATGCAGAAATGTATATTAAACACACAAATGAAACTGTAAAATAATAAATATAATTGGTATTACAGCTTTTCTCTTCAGCACATCTATGTGTTACAATGCAACCAAACACACACAATAAAATTAATGGCAAATACAATTTATCCTGCAGATCAACACCTTTTCAAAGAAAATTAGTTTCTGTAACCACAACACAAAAACCATTAAATAATAATGTTCTTGTACTTCAAATGAAAACGGGTCTTTCCGTTATTTTGGCAATGTATTCATTTCAAATTTAATTCCCAAAAAGGCTTGAAGCCTTATAGATATAACAAAGCAATTCACAAATCACTAAGTAATTTGTTACTATATTGTTTTGTTACATTTACAAATTCTTGAGCTTACAGTCCACAGAACTAAGTCAATAATAAAATTAATGGCTATATTAAAATAAAAATCAGCAATTTTGTTTTGCATGAAACCTTTTTAACAATTAATAAGCAATGCTCTTTAGAGAGCACTTGTAAAATTATAATTGCAGGGCTGAGCACAATTGTGGTCTGATCTCCTCCCCCCATATGAAAAATGAGTTATTAACACCATTTGCTATCTAAGAAGGTGAACTATATTTGTACATTGTGGTTTTGACCTGTTTTCCTCTATTAAGTAAAGAATGAGGTTACTATATTTCATCTTAACAACTCTTCCTACTACAACTATGCAACACTAACTTGATTTTGTTTCCTTAAATTGTGGTTTAGACCACTATTGCGCTGACCCCTTCAATTGTATATGTATTTATAATCACATAAATCATTAAGATTAAACAGAAGTTGTAGAATGTGAATATTAACAATAGATAAGCTAAATATGCAATATTATATCTGACAGGTACCCACAAACCAAGGGTAATTATACTTATTTATTAAATTATTTATTTATTTATGCAATTCCAAGTTAAACACTGATTTAGTTTGTTATTAGTATAACTCCCTCCCTATATACAAATATACCGTAGGTATAAATAAATGCAATTTTCCCTTCTTAAATAAGAGTTGGACTCATTTACAATTATAAAAAATGTTTCCAAGATCCACATTATGTTGGATCAGCAAACATTGCATCCTATTATGGTCCAAAAAGTTGTCTGTCAAAAGTAGCTTACCACGAAATTGCAAATTTCCAACAATACTTCAAAGCCAGTGAATAAGTTTTGTGATTTCTTTTCAAGACACAAAACTGGATTACCCAATTTCAAGATGTGAAAAGGACAACAAAGTTTTTGTATAATTCATAAGAACAATTAATTTCAGGATGCTTTAGAACAAAATCTTCGTGCATCATTTGGATGGATACTTCTTTAGGCAGGTAGTTTATAGTTCTCATATGTTCCCCCTGGGGAATACACAATGTCCTCAGAAAGCTCTCAATGTGTCTGTGGAATAGATCTCGGTTCACGTGGCTGTACACATCTGAATGGACTTTGCAATTAGCAGCCCATTTCCCTGTGGCTTTGCCCCGCTGTCGCGCACTCGACCCTGAACACGAACATTGTGAAGAACCTGAACTTTGACACAATTTGCTCGTATTTGGATTTTTAAAGAGATCCGATAAATAACAACTGAAGTAAAAGTCAGTGAACCCAAGAGTACTGGCAAAGAACACTTTGCACACCTGCACTGGCACACCCTTTGCCGACCGCATCTGAAAATCGTATTTGAAGTGGGACGTTGTCTTGCTGGACCCATCATACCCTTTCACATCCTTCAAATATATCTTTCTCGAGCAACACTGCATGACAAATTTCTTCTGGTCTTCCGGAGAGAGTGACTGGAACGCTCTGAATATTTCGTTCCTCTCATCTTCATCAAAGACAGCAGTGCACCTCAGAGGGCAACTATTCAAATCACAAGGCTTCTTAACGCCGCTTTCATGATCCGTTGTGCTGGCATTTCGCTTCTCAACTTTCTTCTTTTTCCTTGAAATTTCCGTCTGCTTCAACTCTAAGTCTTCAGATGCAATGGTTGTCAAGACCGGCACTGAATCACTGCTCCTTTTGCTGGAAGTGCCCGCAGGAGTCACCATGTTGTCTCCTTCCTTCGTAGCAACCTGCACTACATCCTGCTCCCCTACGATATTTCCAATAACCACTCCACTATTAGCTAAACTCTGATTGGGTACGATGCTTATCATCTGAATGTTCTTGTCTCCAGCAACAATATTCTTAATACTTCCATCACTGGCACATATGGTATTATTGTCTCCACTTTCAACCAAATAAAACTGATCCGCGGATGTCATCAGCACATACTGAACGTTACCAGCATCCTTTACCAGATTGCCATCGCGATCTGTGAAATTCTGTGCATCGGCTGCAATCCACTGCGCTCCCACATTAGGTGCTGCAATCGTCAAAACACCACCTTTATCATCAACCCACTGCTGTGGTTCAGTGCTGGAAATGTGGGCTGGAAGCTGGCTTTGATCTTTCCACTGAAGTTGTACACTTGCCTGTGGTCTTGACAAACTAAGAAACAAGAAAACCATTATTACATCACAGATATATCAGAATAAGAAATTGTTTTAAAACTTAGGGTAGTGCAGTAATGTTTGATAAATCCAATTATTGGGTGACAGGCCATGGCCTAGTCAAATTCCTAACTTAAGACTTGCACTTGCAGGAGTCACCCTCAGTAGCAAAGGGGAAAAGTTGTAATTCCCTCATGCTCACTCACTACTATGACCTTCGGCCCTTAAGTAGCAACTCAACTGGTCCATGGCATATCAGAAAGGCTCCAAAGTTAACGTGTATCAAAATCCTAAATATGCGTGCAAATAGCTCAAACATTTAAAAAATTCGCCAGAACTAATAAAATACACTCCAATATTTAATAGCTTTATGTATTTACAAACAATTACAAGACATTTGATTTTAATAATTAATTTTGCGTTTTTGCCTCCATTTCATATTCCAACGATAATTTTTAACATAAAAAAAAAGGATTTTGTCTGTGTCATCATAAAAGTATCAGTTGCAATGCCACAATTTTTTTATCAATACATTATCACATCATAATCTGACAAATCATTTCTGGGTACTAGCATCATAATATCATCTAAAAGAAATTCGGACAAATACTGCTGCAATACAAGAAAGACATTCCTATGATATCTTATGAATAGCATTTGCATTCATATTTGTGAAGTAAACTTTTCGGTTTGCAGAGACGAATATGCATATTAATTGAAATTCCAAGAGAAATATGCCACATTAAGATCAAAAAACCAATAAAATATGTATAATAACTTAAATATAATGGAAATATGATGCATTAACATAAAATGCACTAATATGCTAATCACCAAATTTCTGTTTGTTTGATTGTGTTTTGGGGACATTTGATTATTAGCATGTAACAAAGCTCATAATTAAAAATATGATATTTCATTAACTTTCAGCCCTTACGTATCACCTTGGTAAATTACATTAATATTGATGCAGGCTGTGAAATCTTACATTGTTTCATGTTTCACACTTTGCACATGATTGTTTTAAAAGTAAAAAGAGTTGAGTTGTGAAACCCACTTTTCAATGACTAGACTCTCAACTCTAAAGCAGTATTAAAGACCCAGTACTGTGAGCAGGATTACAATAAACCGACATAATTTGCAGCGAAACTTATTTGGGTGCTGCGGATCACAATATGTTTTAATCTATCAAGAAAGCTATTTCAAATCCAATATGAAAACAATTACAAGAAAGAGGAATAAACTACACTTTATAGAGTATAATCATCGATTAAATTACTAACAAAATTAAATTTTTTGCTTTCCGGGATGAACCGCGTCTCGGTCAATTGTGCTGACGTTTCGGTCATCTTGCTGTGGCCTTCTTCAGAGCTATACTGCAGTATTGCCGAAACGTCAGCACAATTGACAAAATTTTTAGCTTCAATAACAATATGGGATATGTTTAAAAGCAGTTAAATTTTGCAGATTTTGAAACTTCAGAGGTTGTAATAAAAATCAGACCTGCCCAATTTTTATGCAAAATATCACTACCTCCAAACAAACAAAATCAAGAAAAAATTTGGAGCATTTTTTTAACAAAAAAGTCTTTCATGCTTCATATGACATACACCCAAAAAATTAAAGATATTTTAAAATCACAGGACCTGGAATTTGGAAAGACTGATCCAAGGAAGTCAGCGTTAAAGAAAACCATGAAAAGTCTTCAATGCTTTGAATTTTGTATTGTTTTATTTTATTTTGAATATATATTGTCATCCACTTTACTGAAAAGTGAAACTTGTATTAAATGGCCACTGTGGGTTCGGTCAAAACAGTGGTCTTTAGAAGGGTTGTTGCTTAATACGGGAAATCTTATTTTTTATACAAAAGTGGCTTTTTTTTCTAGTCATCAGATGTATAAGAATATGCCTATCATTTCAAATGTTTATGAAAGGATTTTGGCACATGAACACGAATAATGAAAAATGAAATATTAAAGCATAGGCTTCTGTAGTCGGTGTCATTATCCATGCGACTGCCCAAGAGACGCTGCATCCTATTCACATAATCCAACCTTTAGACATACAGTTAAGAAGAAAAAGAAAACATACATTTATTTATTTATTCATTTATTTATTTATTTATTTATTTATTTGATTATTTATCTACTCATTCCAATACAAATGCTTTTACTTTAGTATAAGAGAAAGTAAAAAAGAAATACAACCAGAGACGCTTTAACTACAATGGGAGTGTTAAAATTCTAAAAGGGACATTAAACATTTTCATTAACTTGTTGTGTCAGTGAGTTTATGGAACAATTAAGAGACACGTAGGCAGGACCCGGAAACATGGGTAATGAAAGATAAAGACAAGAAAAACTATAGGTGGCACATTGAGATTCCTAAGGCACCTCTTAGGAATCACAAGAAGAGACAATGAGAAATAAAGGCACCAGAAAGATATTTAAAAACAAAGATTTGGTAGAAGAGATAGAACTGTCTGAAAGGAGATGGAAAGATCATTTACAGAGAATGAACAACAACAGATTTCCAAAATTAATCTGGAAGAACAAGCCAATAGAGAACAGAAATAGAAGCCGATCACTAAAGAGGTGGCAACAGCAGGAATACTTTGAGACTAAGAATCTACCAAGACTCCTGCAACAAACCAATGGCTGTAAGGCTGTAAAGACTAATTTCTGGTCCGTTCATGATGATGATGATGATGATGTACAAATGCTGAATATAATACATAATATTTGTGGATATTGTGCTGCAAACTTTAAGGTGCCTCCTTCAAACTTTGAAATACTACATTTTAATTCAAATTCAATGACAGTCGAGTCAGCTGAATGATTTGATTGAACAAGTATCAAAGACAAATCCAAACTGTTGACCCAGTGCTTAATTGTTTCTCTCTCACAGGATACTCTTAAATACCTGAAAGTTTCATTGTTAAAATGTATACAACAGAGCAGAGTTCCTCAATTCTGGAGCTATTCTTTGTAAATGAAAGTTTCATTATCAAACAGACAGTAGCCTGTCAATAAACAGAATTGCAGGATATAAGCATCTGAAAATCTAAGGGCAAAGCATCGAAGACAAATGCTATAAATGCCCTAAAATACAGAGTGGTGTGGTGTGACTTCAGAAAATATCGTAAGCCCATGTTAAATAAATAAATACAATTTTTTTGAAAATCAAAACAGCACCAATGAAACCATAAATTGCAATATTAGACCATGTTGAATAATTATGTAGGGCCTGATAAAGAATTACATTCTGATATGTAGTTCTAACAAGATGGAGCCCTAATTTATATAGCTCGTGCCACAACAGCTCTTTTGAAAAACAATTTCAGCAACCACATGATTTCCAATAATTCAAAGTTCTCACAACCAACTTGTTCCCAAATACGACAGCCACATATTATTTTCCATGGGTTCTTTTCTAAACAAAGGAAAAAGTGAATGTAAATAAGCCCGCACCATTCTTCTGCTGAAGAGTAACATTACACCACACTACACCTGGCCTGAGAACTTGCGATTCTTCAAACAGTGATGGGCAGTGCACTCAAACAAGCTCATCTCTGTGAAGAAGCAAAGGCTCTCACTAAAATGACATAATATTCCATTACTGATGGACTAGAAATTCCCACAGTTGTACTTTTAAATGTCAAAAAAACATAAATCTATCATTTTCTGACACATTGTTATTTTTTTAATGAGTCTGAATTTGTGTTATACCGTACGCTACGGATTTTCTAAATTCAGCCTTTAAGAACTTTTGTTACCATGTTAAAGACAATATACAGTTTTGTTGACATTAACTCTTTATTCTAACTTATTATAAATTTTATGGACACAAACATATTTACCTCACAGATGTCTGAGCAGAAGAAACCGTAGGCAAAATACTAGTATAGAAGCCCTGAAAATATCATAAAGTCCATTATTTTTATTCACAAGAAATTCAAGAAGAATAAAGTCTGACAGAACACATAAGACATTCACAAACGTAAACAGGAGAAATCATTACAATTTTATACCCTTTTGCAGTTACATGTGTTATTAAATGCACAATTTACTCAGTTGTCACATTGCTGAGCAAATCATTGTTAGTATTTCTAAAAACCAATATTTAAATTTGGCATCTTCCGCAATTTCAATAAAATAAATAACTTCTTAAAAAAGCCCATTTAATTCTGCATTACGCAGAGGTGCTGCGTTTGCGCTTTCCAACACAAAACATTGGAAAATCAAAAGCACGGTAGGTTAAGAATTACATACTTCTTGTACTTCCTCCTTGTAGTCTTCAACTGTAACCTGGGCAGGGCGTTCTAATTCCTCCTGCATACACGTGAATACAAAAAAAGCATTAGATGAAATCAATGGTTTACAACCAATGTATGTTAATTGAAGGATCCTCCCGATCTTGGGATTTGGTTATAGTTCAAATCAAAGCATTAACACATTTCAATTTGCCAATGTTTCTGGTTATTTTAATTCCATCCTCAGGACTTACTTATTCACAGATTATAATACATCCTTCCAATACATACAATTATATTATACTTAAAAATATTCCAAAACATCGGCAAACTGAAAGGAGTTAATGTTTTGATTTCAACTGTGACTAAATCCCAGATCCTGAAAATACCGAAATCAAAGGTTCAACAAACTTAATCGTGATGGAAGTCAGTGAAAAAATAAAACAAAGAATAACATAATTGCAATTCAAAACCTTTTTGAAATAATTTGTCACTTGCATAAAAATCCAAAACTTAACAATTATTTATGATTTCCATGAGGAATATGAGAAAAAAATACTGTCAAAGAAAAATATATTTATTTTTGCTTGGTACAAATCACCTATATAGGATTTTTTGGGGCTATTTATAGATTGTTTGAGGACACTTTTGACTAGCTTGCTTCAACTTCACTTCATATACAAGGAAAATCAACAGTCAATACTATATTCATGAATTTACCAGTTCTACAGCCACCCAAGTAAAGATGTTCAATATTTTTAAAATAAGACCACAAATTCAAAAAATCAGATCTCATAAAATCAATTTAAATTTTTTTATTAACGGAATGTTGAATATTTTTCTTAATGTTGGATAATACCTAGGTATTTTGAGCATCTTTCTATTTTGTAAAATCTAGCCCATTTTATAATCATTTTCAAAACTAACTTCTTGATATAACAAATTGAAAGTTGGTTACAACTCTATTATTGCAGATATTGTAACGTACCTCATCTGAAGCTTCCTCTCGTTTAATATTTCCAACAATCACTTGGGTTTGCGATGTGATGTCATTCTATAAATTCATTCACGTCATAAAAAGAGAAAAAGAGAGAAAAAAAACAAACTGTATAAGAAGTCAAAAAATTACTATAAGAACCTCAAGCACTAAACTAAACTGAAAAAAAATAAAAAAATAAGTTTTAAAAAATAAGCAGCGAATATGTGTAAGTAAGTGGATATTAAATACAATTCATTTAGAAGTATCATTTTAAAATTAATGAAATCTAAGAAATAGCTAAAAACTTTCATGATCTAAACACACATGAACGATAATTGTATTTTGTTCAGGATTGGCACAATCATTTACACAAAAGTTATTCATATATTAAAAACATTTTTAATATTATTGTTAATTATTGAGATTATGTGCATATCCATTTTGAACAATAATTTAAAAGGTTTGGAGTAACAGAATGCTGTTCAAACTTCAGGCCATAAGGAAAATTGTGGGAACAGGGGTGAAGTGTATTGCTGCACACAGGCACTCGCACAAGACGCAATCATATCTTCAACTGTTCAAAGAGTTGTCATCCAAGTGAGAAGCAACCCCGCACCTCCTGGTTTGCACAGAGTTGCTTTAACCACTGAGCTATTGAGATGACAAATTCTTTTACAGGTTTCTTGGGCCTGAAGTATTGCCAACCATTGTCACCCGTCTTCACCTTATTGGAGAGGTAATGCCGTTGGAAATACATTACGCACAGAAAGCGTTTTCCATGATGACCTTGTTTCAGTGTAACAAACGTGTTTGGTTGAAGTCAAGAAGACGGTACCACTTAACGAAGTTTCTTAGATCCACTCCACACGCTGTTCAGGCAAGAGAACGATCCTCACCAGAGGGGGCAAGGAGCAGGTGGGCAGGGATAGTGAGCAAGGTACATAAGGCAAAATACCTGAAGGGAGTTTTGGTATTCAGAAGCTAAAACTTCAATGTTAAATAGCTTGCAAAATATAAGGAATTACACAATGAAGTAAATTAATATGATCGTTGAGAACGTAAAGTATCAGAAAATCCAATTAATTGGATTTATTAAAATTTGGACAATTTAGGATTTTTACGGCAAAATACCTGAAGGGAGTTTTGGCATTCAGAAGCTAAAACTTCAATGTTAAATAGCTTGCAAAATAAAAGGAATTACACAATGAAGTAAATTAATATGAGATGTTGAGAACGTAAAGTATCAGAAAATCCAATTCATTGGATTTAATAAAATGTTGACAATTTAGGACTTTTTTCCAAAAATATAGCAGAAAAAACATAAGACATTGATAGGCAACAAACGACGCTTGCAGAATATAGTTGTTGCGCAAAAAGGGTGCATCGATGAAGAACGATAACAATCAAACAAGTGAACCAGTGAGGCATGATAGAAAGTGTAATTGAGGAATTTCTGACAGAATGATCTCTAATTTAGTAGGGTGAGGATTAATGGCCATCATGACATAGTGTAGTAATATTTTTGTGATTAGTCCGAGGAGATAAAAAAGGGCATGTGGTCCACAGGTAACAGGAGAATAGCAAATTAATTTAAATGAGATTTTTCAGGGAAAAAAAAAGTCTGTAATATCTGGGGAACATATAGATCGCAAATAAGAATAGAAATTTCACTAGTTGAAATTCAGTATGGACATAAGAAGATCTGCAGATGGAATTGGAACAGTCGCCGATGTCATTAGCAATGCCAAGACTTTTGTAAAATTTCCAAAGGAACGTTTATGCAATAAGTGACAGACAATAATAAAAGTATTATAAGAAGGAATTCGAAATGAATAAATCATGTCAGCCGACACCAAAAGTCACTAGCATGTCATAAGCAATTTGTAGATTGTTTAATTTCTTAGTAACAAAGATTCCCTAACAATCCACCCGAACACGTGTACAAGCAATATTTCCAAGCCCGTGGGACAAGACAGAACCACGAGAAACATATGTGTGCTGGCGCCCAAAGGATTAAATTCAACTAGAGCTAGCTCCTCCATTAATTATAAAGAGAGAAAATATAATAAGTAGAAATGATTTTCATTCACTACAATGGTAGGCTCAAAACAAGGCTGTAAAATATACTAAATTGTTTAATAGTAAATTAATAATATTGCAAAAATTATAAGTATTTAAAAGAAGGAATGGTTGATTCACTTCAATATGTTAATTATAATATGCAAGACGTTGGCAGTTACACTCTGGCGAGGTTGCCACATGTACATATCGCAGCCCTGCTGGTGAAACGGCCCACACCAAACCCCAGGCGATCTAAATAAATTTTTATAATATAACTTCTCAAATAATTTTAATGCTTTATGAAACATTTTCCTTATGTCGTTTCATGTCCTAGTAACTCGTCAGCGTCATTACTATTCCATTTCTTAAAGCAAAAGTTGCATAGCGGTAATTCTGACTTTTATTATGATTCTTTGGTAAAAGTCAGAATAGCTGTTCAAGTGGTTGGCTACATTTCTGTTGAACAATTATGTTTGTTGTGCTCTTTTGAGTACTTGAGATTTGTGTCTATCATTGTTGAGCATTTGTCTTACAATGATGAAAATAAATGTACGTTATGCACAGTGCCGAATGCGGTGTTTGGTCTTGATTAAGTGGACACAAAATCATGGATTGATCACAACAGGGCTTATGTGTGCAATATAAAAGTTCCCTTTGTGGTTGGCTAAGCAAGTGTTGTGAGAGAGCTTCAATTGGAAGTGCAGTAAGCAAAAAGCCATTCATATGTGTGAGTGTTCTGTGCAAAAGGGAGCTTGGTGTGCAAGAAGCAAAATAAATATGAAAGATTCTTGCCATTCCTTGAGGGCGTCTTGCAATTATGTAAATGTTATTCACTTATTTCAGACCGCTTTTAAATATGTTAGAGGAGAGCGTAAGGAGACAGCTCTCCCACATCCTCCTATTCCCTGTACCTGCTCGCTTTTTGAGGCTGTACCTTTGCTTCAACCGTGAACTTTAATAATTCAAATGATTGTCATCCCATCCAGGATTTAGAACCCATTTTTTCTGATTTACAGTGGTGTCAATTGAATGTTATTGTTGGCATTACATCAGATCTAAGAAAACCTTCAAAGAATTTTGTCACTGAGCTCAGTTGTTAGAGAAACTGGTTGTAAACCAGGAGACACAGGTTCAATACGCAGCTGGGGTGATAATTTTTTAACAATTTGAATTATTAAAATACATTTTTTCCTAATGACAAGGTAATATCATGGAAAGTATTCACTGAGCAGGGAATATTTTTATTGGAATTGGCTCTTCATTAAAATGGCAGGATGGTGACGATTGTAATCACAATTTTCATTGGTCTTTCACAACTTTAGGAAAATGTGTTATGAATTCTGCCTGATATAAGACTGAATAATTCAAACAAAAACTCACCAATCCTGAACTGTCTAAACTATCAGATCCTGGTTCTTGTTTCACCTAAACAAAACAATTTCACAACATAAATTAGTTACAAAAACATCACAAAAAACGGGGGGGGGGGGGATATCATAACATTGCATGAATTAAATGTGCATAACCTAATTTAGTAAAACAGAATTAATAATAAACAGATTCAAATGCAATTACCTACAAGAGTGGTCAAAAGAAATATTTGTCTACATCCAAACTCCAAAGACACAAAAATATCCAGATTTCTATTTAAATAAAAGCCCGATCCTGAAGTTTTCAAACTTGGAACACCAACACCAAAGGTCAAATTATCTATTCAATACATCCAGAGAACTAATGAAAATAAATTTTCTATAATTCGTTGCAATAACTCCAAACTACAAGCAATTACCTCATTTTGACTGAATGACACACTTTCTTTTTATTTGCATTTTCATCAAAACCAAATGCAGAAAAGCAACTTTGAAATGAACTTTTTTTACTGAAAATGCGTAAAAATTACTGAGATTTTCAGTAAGTTATAATTTGATAAAAATAAATTATTCAAGAGATATAACACATGGACAATATTTTCTTTGTCACGAATTTATAAGTATATTGTCTGTATGAAGTATTCAATAACATTTCAAAAATTATCAATAACAGTTGCCCTACAGTCCACGAAACAAACAACATACCTCGTTTTCAACTTTTACGATGCATTCTCCCAAATTTTCGGGGTCCTCCATTATTGTAGTTCAACAAGATTTCTTGGAAATGAATAACTATACCGCATCAGAATGTTCGCATTGTCAAGTATATTTCTTCGTTATGTCATTATTGCGAGTATACGCCCAAATTCATACACATACAACTACAAACTTCGCATTCTGAGGTTAAGAAACAGCCCAAACACACACAGAATGATTACGATCGTTGACAAATGCCATAATTAGCTGCAATTCCGCATCGAATCGAATTATGAGAACCGCAGTCGACCAAGCGAGCGTGACGATTCGAGAATTTTGCCACTTGTTACAACGTTCACAAAGTTACCGACAATGCAGAAAATTGACCTTCATAAATACCTAACGACGATTCGATTTCAAAAGCTTTTTATAGTAATCGAAACCGATAGACTGATTTACTTTTATCCATTTATATATATCCGATTTGCTATAGCTTAACGCAATATTGAGCAAATCTTACTATGATAATGTATTGTAAAATGTTTAGCTAGGTATCGCTATATATTAATTCAAATATCGGGAACATAAATTAACATCAAATTGAGAAAAACAAGTATCAGTAATATTTATCCAAGACGAGCATCAGAAATTAATAGATTTACTGAACATCCAAAAATCTTATTAAAGGAATAAAGAAAAAATAGGTTATCCTACATAGATATATTTTCTAAGATTTCTAATCAAATTTTCCTTTCGCTCAGCTACTGTGGGTGAGCGTACAAATGTCCCATAGTGTAGTGTGCATGTGTGTGCAAAGAGCATAGAAAGTATACTTTGGTGGGGTGAGAATGAATGAATCATCATGGATATAATAGATGGTGTTAATCTATGCTGCCATCATCATTAAGCTGCGGATTTGTGCCCATTTGCCTATTTTTTCCTTCAATGGAAAACGCAAATTTTTGGGATACATTTTGAAGCATTACGAGTATTATATGCGAATTTTATAGTGCCTATAAATGCCTATTCCACTATAAAATGTGTATTTTATGTTTAATTGTCTAAATGTTGTCTATTCTCGTATTTCCTTATCAAAATGCAATTTCTCCTTCATACAAATTTTTTAACATGTCATATTTTTTTCTTGTTTATCCTGCAGGGTACAGAGAATTTGAACAACTATTGTAAATCTATTCCGTTTTACTACCACCACATTGAGTATTTCATATTGTGAAACTCGTACAAAATCGCTGGTGTTGTATTTTTTTACTTCGAAATTTAAACAAGCATGTTTCATTTTCGATAAACTCGGTGAATTTTTGAAAATTGCAAATTTTGACATGTTTTCAGATATAATGCGAAAAAGTATATGCTATTTTAACACCACTAGTTACAACATTTGTATTATGCATGGGGATTAAAACAAATCATACAATATTATCAAATATGTTTAAATTAAATGTGAGAAAAAAAGATCATTCTATGCAACATTAGAGTATCAGCGCGCATTTACTGAAAATGTAAACTGTAGCTACTGCAATTCAGCTCCCCCCTCCTTTTTTATCGTCCAAATGATCCATCAACGAAAGAAAGAATTTACACGAGGATTTGTCAGAATAATGATGGAAGCAAACATTGCATGAAGGTAACTATATCATGTTTACTTTAGAAACTTTCTACACAAGTACATAAATAAGGATAAGGAAACATTAATAGTGCCTTTTTTAATGTCTATTTTGCACTTTGAAGTGCCAATTTTACATTTTTAATGCATATTTTGCGTATCTATAAATCCGCAGCTTAATCATCATATACTTTCTGGTCATCATCAAACAGTTAAAATATCCAACGCAAGAGCCCTCTTGCAGGTCCATTTAACCCCCTCCTGCATACTGTAGGAGGCTCAACCACAGAGAATGGAATGGGGAGGACTCAGCTCGTCCATTTACACTTGGATTTATTTATACGTGCGTTTGAAGTAAATCAGCTGTAAATCAAGTCACTGTAGCGACATATAAGCTCCCAATTGGGTGAAACCGTCAACAGCTGGTTTACTTCAAACGCACGTATGCATAAATCGTACTATAGCTCTATTGGCTTGAGGCGGCACCCAATGTTACCAGTCGAAGTACAACTTTCAGTCTCCGCCATCTTTGGTCTGAAATCTACAGCCAATAGCATGAAGGTAACCGGGAAATTTAAAGGAGTTTTTGTTTTAAGGGGAAAATTATTTACAATGGATAAAGAACGTTTTCCATACACTCGCCTCAAGTGAGCGAAAAAATAATCTTTTGAATTTGTTCATGATCTGTTAGCTTAAGTAATTGTGAAATGTAACATAACCTGGAAAGAAAATCTCGTTAAATTAGTGTCTGGAACAAAATTATTTTATTCCTGTCAATAATTAAATATAACTCACTCACGTAATTGACTCTCGGTTAATTGAGGTAATTAATAGTGTGTTTAAATTATTTTAGAATGAAGGTCTCATTAAAATATGTAATTTCATTCCAATCTACTCTATAATAAGGTATATTTTTACGTTATCTCTAACTGCTTACGCAGTATAGCGAAAGTATGGTAATGCTGCGGGAAAACGGAGATTTTTCGACAAAAGCTTTTATTGTCTGACCGGCCCGAACAACTGCACTAGAAAGACCGTAAAAATTGAGCCGTTTTTTAGATTTTTTGTCATTAATTTCATTAATTGCAAATTGCATTGATTTCAAGCATAAATTACCATCCGTTTCGATTCCATTCGTTTTCCACAAAACTGTACATTATGTTTTTTTACTTTCTCGTCTTACTACGTTAAAGAGACGTATCGTACTCTTGTGTCGGAAATTGGCGAGTTTTTAACAGAAAATTATTATTGCCTTGCTATGCCACGGCAACGAAAAAGCCTATATATCTTGTTCCTGTAGTTGTAGTAAATTACTTCCTCTAACAAGTTGTGTAATAAGAATCATGGGCCCTTGATACCGAAAAATTGTATTACGGCAAAACACCTGTCCATCTGTGGGCAACGCTAGCGGCTAAACAGCAAATATAATTTTCACTTAACTTGATATTCCCCGTTCGATTTCACTGATACCCCTTGTATTTGAAATCTATATTTTTGATTTTTGATACTACTTACTTAGTCTCAATTTTCTCAAAAATGGCGTCATATTTTTCTTTTTTTCTGATAGATTAAAAGACGCTTAAAGTTATGGCATATGTCTCATTTTCGTTAAACACTGTAAACTTTCGAAAACTGCAAACTTCTAAAAAGTCCACGTCTTCCTACAACTACAATAATGAAGATATTTTTTTCCATGATGAAATCTGGTCATCAAAAAAAGATATAGAAATAAGGTCATGAAATAGTTTTCAAAAAATAGATGTTTTTACATGGAACAGTTTTCTCAAAAAACGGCTCGAAATTTTTTCTTTAAATTTCTTCCTCATATGTAGCTCTAAAGAGTCATCAATCAATGTATCTGACATCAAGAAGGGGTTTATATATACGGCCTTGGGGCTACAAAAAAACGTGTACATGTAAAAATTGATGAAATACAGATTAGCAAGTTCGGATGCTTTGGAGACAGTGAAGGCACACAGAAGAATAAAATCAACAACTTGAAGAAAGGAGGACGTCTTGGGAAACGGATGAAACTTTGAAGTCTTGAAAGACAAACTGTGTGTTGGAATTTAGAAGACAATGAAACGTCTCGGAGTACAGACGAAAGATACACGAATTGAAATACAGAAGAAAGTTAAGTCTCGGAGTATATAAGAATGTTTGATGTCTTGGAGTATATGCGAGAGGTATATGTCTTGAAGTATAATAATGTGACGCGTTGAAAATATTGTTTATTCATATTGCTTTTTTAGTTAAAAATTATTGTATTGAGATACTGTTATCGTTGTTATTATCATTAAAAATATATGTTTCTTTTTGATTTTGCAATAGGAAGCATTTTAAATTCAATAAACCATTAAGTTGCCATAGTTCAAATCTACGGTGTGTGCCGTAGAATCATCAGCCCCTATAAAAAATAAATCGATATTTTTATTTTTCTCTTCATGAATCTAATTCATTAGAAGGAAAAATAAAAATCATAACAGAAGCAAAGAACGGAAAACAAAGTAGTCTATTTACCGCAATTTTTTTTCGAAGAGAATTTTTATTGGTGGTAATAATGATTTTTTTAAATTTATTTTAGATCACTGTGCAATTGCATTAATTTTTATTTCTTTATATAAATGAAATTATAAAATATTTTATGATACACGTTCAATAAAAACAATAAAATCCATCCCAAAAATCTTTGTGTGATTTATAATACTGATATAAAATGATTGAGATGTAAAAATCAAAATAAATTGATGGTAAAATGAACATTTTTCAATACAAATAAATAAAAACGACTAATGCACGAAAAACATAGTAGAGGTGCGACATGAGGAGAAAGAATTTTCCAATTTCCACATAAGGTTCATTTCACATTTCCCTGTTACTTCCACACGATTGTATGAGACAAGGTTCAAAATAAGAATCAATACCAAAAAAATAGCCCTATTTTTAATTATACCGGAAGCTGGACATATAAAGCTTCTCGTTTTAACATGTCAGTGTGTGTAACAGTGCTGTCTTTTAGTTGTAATCCTCAATAACGTCAGTAAATATTATAATAATAAATAATGTAACCCAAAATGAAAATTGTTCCATATTGTGAATACTACACAAATTAGTTTACTTTCAACGCTTTATTTTGAGTGTATTTCTTTTGAGAACCAATCTGGTGGTAATACAAAATGCTGACGAAATGTCACTTAATGCAAATAATTATGGCCTACATACCTTTATTTTGGGTAATTTGTTTTTACAATGCACATCTTCATGTAATATTCTTTTAGAGCTGGTAGATGATTTTGTGCTAATTAACAATTTTCTTACATCGGATAAAAGTAACGTTTTGAAAATCACGTACATATGTCTTATTGTCACATATGTAAATGTACGTATTTATTTTTAATATTTATGTCTCCCACGTATTTTAATAGTTAACATGAGTCATTTACACAACACTTGTGTATTACCCATACCGTACATATATTTAAGAAGCAACGTTTTAATGGAAGGAAGTTAAGCGAGATGCAGAATACGGCTAAGTGGAAGCCAATGTATTACGAGCGAATGATCATATTGTGAAATTTTCACTATTATTTCAAAAAACCTTTTTTAGAATAATAAAATGTTTATATTTGATGAAAATGATTTATAAGACAGTAAAAGTGAAATTGTATTGTTAAATTGGAAGTAACAGTTAAAGCTGTATAATTAA